ACATTGTCAAGAATTCGTTGATGAGAAAGATTAGTATACATAGTAGTGAAATCAACTGTATGCAGGGCCAGACCTCTAAGAGAAGCTTTATTCTTTTTGAGGTCAAGCATGACCTCGTCACTGCTCTGAACAATCCAACATCGTCGAATACCTTCGGTTCGAAAGAGTTGATTATCTTTTTCGCGAAGAGTACGGATGACGCCTTGAAGTGCTGCACTCAAACGAGCCGAAGTAGGCGTTGTACTAGCTACCGGCTTGTGAGGCGGTCGGTGATGCAAACGCTGGACTCGTTGGGAAGGGTGCAGATCACTCCGTCGGGCCGTATGGGAAGAGGAAGAAGAAAGATTGTTTCGGGCAGTGATACCAAGAATAGGACAGAGTGTGGGAGGAGATTTATGGGTCTTAAGAACACAATAGAGATACGCCAATGTGTCAGCATGAGGATAATTCCAATGATTGTTCCAAACTGCATGGCTATTCAGAATGTCAGCCACTGATTCAGCAGGCCGAGAGTACGTAGGACTGTCAAGGTGGTTTGACAGTTTGAATCGGTACCAATTTTTACAGCAAATAGCCAAATTATGTGATGTTTTGTCCACAGGAACAATCGCAADGGATTCTTGAAGCTGACGCAGGGCCGTATGCGCGTGCCGCAAAGAGCGAGGTTGTCACAATGGTGACGCGGCAGTCATATTGCACTCACAGTGACGCAAGACTGCAGCACGCCAAAGAGCCAATTGTGGGGCTAGGGTAGCAGCACAGGATTGTCGTGCTGTCGGACGAAGATACGCAGCAATATACTCATCAATACCAACAGCCAATGCTTCAAGTATATCTCCCACTACCCCATTCAGCCGATATTTTGAGCCCTCATAGAACAGGCGACGAAGGTTAGCATCCGGAATCAGATCATAGTTGGCGGAAACAACATGGCCGTCAACCAGATCGGTGCAGTTAGGAAACCCCCGACGACAAGGGCAATCAGCAGCAGCAGGTAGGCAAAGGGCCGGAGTGACACTCAAGGCAACTTCCGTAAAATTACAGAATTGTACCCTTGTTGGGGGCACGAGCTTGTCACAGATGCGAATGCTGCTAGCTGCCTGGGGGTCGGGGTGTCATGCATATGCACAATCCTGATAAAGTTTTCGAAGGTGTCGCGGGAATGAGCAGTATATCGTTGTCGGACGTGTTGAAATCGCCGAATAAGGCATTCAAGTTCACGGACGTCCGCAGTCATGTCTGCATTAGAAACATTTATATACAGCCATCGCAGCAGGCGAGCTCGCCATGCGGGCGTAGCCTGCTGAATGGAAGCAACAACTTCGGACCAAGAACCCGCTGCGCCTAATGTCAATAACCGCCGTAACGTTGTTCGTACTGCWAGTTGAGGGCCCGGGCTAATATCAATGGTGAAGGCCCAAGAGGAGACGCCAGTTGGAGACGGGTGAGGAGAAACGGCAGAATGAAGAGAAGCAGCAGAGGAAGGACCAACTTGCCGCCTGCGATCGGGGCGTGGCTGCCGTCGGGGAGGCGGTAATGGAGACATAGGCAAAACTGCATTGACGCCCGAAGGGTGCAAGGTTCGCAGCCGTCGGACCCAGAAACCCTCTCTAGGTGACGCCGCCCGCCGAAAGAGGGCATGATCAATCTCACCGCTATCAGTAATGTAGAGCGCACGATCAATACATTCAAGCGGCCAAACAGCAAAATTGAAGGGAGACTGTTGTCGCATGACGTGATAGAGRTGCTGATGACGATAATCAACAGCAGTATGTCGCACATGCCAGTGCTCCTTCAAACGTTGATGAGCAGTATGGATTGTCTGGCCAACATAGAGACGCCCAGAGGGTATATGCACAACAGCATAAACAACTCCAGTAACAGAAAGTGGATCATTGCCTGGCTGGAGCAGCTGCTGGTCGATACCTCTCAGCTGTAATTCAAAGCGCTCAGTTGCGGTGACAGTATGTAAATTGCGCAATTGCTTTTTATGCCACGTTCCCGCAAGAATACAAATCAGTATTCCAGCGATAATGGGCAAGCCAGTCAACGCGTTGCCGGTTAGAGAAAGGGGGATTACGGCCCCGTGAACGAAGAGACGGAAGCGGTGCTGTGCCTGTCGCGCCACCAACAGGCAGAGTCCCGAATGAACTAACCCCCTGATTTATCTGTAATGGTAACGACATGTTTTTGTTAAAGAGGATTATGAAAGTTTTTTAATTTTTTGAGTTTTGAATTTTTTGTTTTTTATTTTTTATTTTTWATTTTTACACGGYACARCAAGTGCCCAGGAAAGCAGGACTTTAGGCCCGATGGCTCAGGCCGGGAAACCTGCCATCGTCCTTTCTGCATCCACAGAAAGGTGAGTGGGCATGGGGGCAGCAACCCGG